AAAAAATAAGCAATTTTATATACATTATATATGTGTGTGTATATATATATATATATACATATATATGTGTGTGTATATAAATATGGTCATTTTAGAAGCCTGTAGTTAGTGGTGCTGTGGAACTGTACTGAATTATACTAAGAAGTGCCTCTAATATTTACACTACCCTCGCTGATATACAAAGGGTGGACAACAGCATTCTGAATAGTTCCGGTGTGGTGCCCATTGACAATTTTTCCCCCGGTTGGATTGGATTAAAAATAAAGACGCCATCTTCCTGAAGATTCAGAAGAGTAACTGTTCAATGGAAAACGAGCTATAAATATAGCCTCAGGTGTGGATGAGATTTATTTTAGGTCGACCAACAGAAACTTTTAATTGCCCTAAAAACATTATTTTTCTCTTAGTGACCACTAACACAACTTCTGTGTTGACAAAAAATTATATTGGCAAGACCAGTGTGTCAATTGCTACTGACTGTAAAGTAAAGTAAAGATTATTAAATAAAAAATTACCTCAACTTGCAAAAAGATTTAAACACAGTAAAATGAAGTGGCAGTTCAGTCTGACTGAACCCATATGTAAATAATTCTCCTTACCCATCTCTGTAGTTGATGACCGTATCGATGATGGTGTTCATTTGCTTGGTCAGTTTGGGGGGGTTTGGGGAGAGCTTCTCAGCTGGTGGACGTCCACGTTTCTTCTTGGCCTTGGACCCCCCGTCATCTCTGCTCGATGAGTCCTTGTCCTGACGTCTCTTGCGTTTGCGTTTTTTCAGACGGATCTCCTCCTCCATCTCTTCTAGGTTTCCATCCTCGATGGCCTTGAGTTGAAAAGCACCAGAGGCAGGGTTAATCCTCAATAACTTCAACTTGTCCACTCATTGTAGGATCATTGTCAAGAAGTGCACAATTTTTACAAACCATCTCTGTCATCAGATATAAAAATCCCTAGTCAACACAACTACAAATGACGTAACAGTCGTAAGTACTTTCCCTGAGTTGCAGTATTTTAAACTCTGGCTGTCAAGCTCCGTAGCATAACTTAAACCTCTTCAGCAGGGCTCTGGATATTTTTCTTCTTTTAATTCGAGCCACTCTGAACTACAGCTAACACTTCCAGCATACTGTCAACCGGTCGCAATGCTTCTTTCTGTTCTATTCTTGTTTCCCTGAAACACCTGAGCCACAGTCAATAAAATGGATCTGCCAGGCCTGACATGTCTCTCCAGGGGAGTGTGTCACAATATATTTGGTGTGGGTGACTGGGTGCCATTAGCATCAGGCTGAGCTAAACTTTGGCATTAAATCCAGTCATAGATAAGGCCCGATCTGCTTACCATTGATGACGGTACTCTTGTTTGAGAAAGGTTTCTAAAAACCTTTTAGCTTTTAAACAAAATTAAACTATATATTGAAACTTATTTTTAGAGATATGTGTCTTCAGCAGAAAAAGATTAGCTTAGGACTGAGAGCCCCAGACAGCGCAGGGAGGTTGGAAAGTATTGACAGAGTAATACATTGATTTTGGTCTTTTGAATGGAATTGAAAGACGGAAAAAAAATAACAAGCTACTTCTTTTGAAGGAGTATAAACCCTGATTTATAATGTGTCCTAAACAAACCAAATAGAAAAGAAAAAGTTTCAGACAAAAGAAATCAAACTGCCGCTTAATGGTCTAATTAAGAACAATGTAAAATTACATATTAGACTGTAATTTTCACTGACTGGTGTTAAGCCCAGAGAAGTTAATTATCCAAACTGAGTTCATGCATATCAAATCAGTCAGTATATTATACAAGATTACTATAATTAACTACAGTGGTGCTGAGTGAAGAAGTGGAAAAGGAACAAACTTTCCAAAAAGTTTTGCTGCCACTGTGTGTACTATTCATGTTGGCTCTTTAATCACTGTTAGATATACATATAATTAGATTGCAGTTTTAAAAAATACATATTACATTTTTAGCCATTTTAAAGTTTTACAGCAGTCATATTTATCACCATATGCTCTTACATGTTTGAGACAAAATTAAATATCATAGATTGATTTACCCGCAACCACTGTTTTTCAGTCAGTGCGTCACTGTAGTCCACATCCCGACGACAGCGCGATCCTCGGCCGAACATCTTTTCTTCCTCCTCTTCGTATGTGAGCCGTTCTACCTCAGCATCGTCTTTGATGATCCAAGAAGGCAACTCGTCCTCCTCCATTAGACGAGGCTTACGCTTTGGGTTCCTGGCGTGCTCCCGGCGTCTGTCCATGTCCATGCGCTACAGAGAAGTAAGATAATGATCAGGTAAATATACATGATTAGGCCATATTGTGCTTTAATTACATCCCCACATTTCTGTGTTTACTTTCTTTCATTTACTTTGTCATATAAGACAAATGTACTCATATTGGTGGAGTTACAAGCTAGATGCCTAGGTCACCTTGTCTCATTACTGTGATAGAGAACTGGGATTACAGTGAGCAAAGGGTTTGCAGTTGAGAGGGCTTAGTTAAATGTGTGTTACTAAAAAGGAAACTATTGAACCAAGCTAACCAGTTTCAGATCAGTTTTTGCAATCTCAGTAACCTCCGTTGCCTCAACGTGTTCCTTATTTTTGAGATGGCACATGTCAGCTAGGGTGTAGGCTCGTAAACTATGCTATAACAGAAAAAAAAAAAACAGAAAACGCACCTTTGGACAAACCCCTTTAAGAAGTAACCGAATTTGTGTCAACCATATTCTATGGCTTGCTTCCAGATGCTTATGAATATTTAATATCCAGTCACCATGGTAATAAGCCATCACGAGCTGGATGAAACACGAATGATGAGGCAACACCACTAGGAAACCGTAAAGCTTGAGGTTGTTTAGTGCGAAGTTTTTTAAAAACAAGCACTTGATTTGCAACCTCAGCTGGTGTTTACTAGTACTCGAGTCAAAAGAGAATTTCAAACACAGATGGTCACAAACAGAGTTGTGTAGAACTGTAAAACTGTCAAATGATGGACTGTGAATGACATGACTGCAGTGAGTCCTGTATCCATGGCAATTCAATAATTTACTATTCAAGAAGACACATCTGTCTAGGGATAGTTGTTGCCAAGTCTGAAGGTGCCTGAACAAATGATGACATTCAACAAAACATGATAGACAACCTACAATTCTTTTGGGGTAGATGTAAGATAACCAGCTGTCGGCTTCCCCTCTTTTGGAAAATTAATACTTTTAACAGATTTACTCTAAATATGTGTCTTACCATGAAGAGCTCAAATTCATCTTCATTGCGGGCTATCATCTGGTTAAGGGTTTCATCATCGGGTACTTCATCTTCTTCCTAAAGTTACATATGGAAATACATCAAAACACAGTTGGAACTGTTTCAGCAAAATCAAAGCCACACATACTCAGTTCAAAATCAGTCAAGTGTGGCATACAGATTTCATCAAACACCAATTAAATAGCTGAGATTTCATTACATAACCATGTAATATTATATGTGTAGGATAGTTAACTCGCTGATCATATCTAGGGAGCCGTCTCCAGTGGACCTGCAGTAATTCAATTAAAACCACCATGCACAATTTAACTAGAGGGTAAAAAATCAATTTAGGGTATCTTATATTCACTGTATAAAAATGTCTGATCAAGCATCTTATTCCTGAGTTGCTTTTACTTCCAGGATAAATAATTATAAATATATGAAATGAACATAAGTTTCAAACTGAAACCTTACCTCATTCTGCTCCTCGTGCTCTAAAATGGCCTGGAGGAAAGCACGGCGCTCATGGCTCGAGGACTTCTGGTCGAACATGCCTGCTTGGATGACTTTCTGATCCACGTTGAGTTTGTATTTGGCAGCTGCCAAGATTTTCTCCTCCACACTGTTGACAGTGCAGAGACGAAGCACACGCACCTCATTCTGCTGACCGATGCGGTGAGCCCGGTCCTGAGCCTGAAGGTCCTGGAATCAGCAGATGAATGAAAAATTCGTCATCATCATTTCAGTTGCCTCAATAAAGAGGAAATGAATTAAAATCTTTGGAGAGCCAATGTCAGAATAAGTGTCTACTGCAGATACTCAGTTTCTAAAGATGTCAGCATAGTCTTTGGGCCTTATTTTTAAATATAGCAATTTAGCCATCATTCTTTGTTAGTAAAAAAACTCTGTATAACACACTCCTGTCGCCTGTCAGAGCACTGACACACCAAGCTGATATCAAAAGATGATTCATAAAACACACTGCATCAACACACATCTTCTGTTAACACATGCAAGTACATTATGCACCTGCGTGAGAAGAAATATGTCTGTAGTTTTTGTTCCTGATCTTACAACATGCAAAGACAAACAAAACAAACCACTATTACTATTACGCTACTGTGAATCTAGTCAAACACTATGAAATATCTGCTAAAGAGTTGCATTAGACAATGTCAAGTTTAGCTTTTCTTTTTTTTTCTTTTCATTGCATTGTATAGGTGTGGTTAGTTTTGTTTGTGAAAAAATGTGGAGGCTAAAACTAAAAATTACTGTATCATACTATTTGTATGAAATAAATACTTTTATAATGCTGAAAGGTTCTAACAATGGACAACACCTCAAGAACACATAGAACATATACAGTTCATACAGAACATATACGTGCTTATAAGTTTACATACCCTGGCAGAATTGAATTGATTTTTTGGCCGTCTTTCAGAGAATACGAATGATAAGAGAAAAACTTTTCTTTCACTCATGGTTAGTGGTTGGGTGAAGCCATTTATTGTCAAACAACAGTTTTTACTCTTTTTAAATCATAATGACCCTGATCAAAAGTTTACATACCCCAGTTCTTACTACCGTGTATTGTCCCCTTTAACATCAATGACAGCTTGAATGAATTGAGCCATGATAACCAGATAATCAGTGTTATTCCTGTCAGTGATCATAATGTTATGGCTGATTGGTTTATATATATATAAAAACGGTATACATAACATATATATGGACGTACCTGATGTGGGTTCCAGTCACTGTCAAAGATGACAACAGTGTCAGCTGCCTGCAGGTTGAGGCCGAGGCCACCGGCTCTGGTACTGAGAAGGAAGATGAAGTATTGAGACCCTTCCTCATTAAATTTCTTCAGCAGTGCTGCTCGGTCCTCAGACTTGGTGGTTCCTGAAACACCAACAAAAAGTTCATCATCATTTTGAAATGCTGAGTCTATCAAGTTAACTTTGAAAAGTCTGCGTGAACTTCCTGTTCTTCTGATCCAAAGTACATTGTTGTCAGGAAAGTAAAAATGTCACCTGTATACTGTGGCTCATCTCTGACCAATTAAACTGTTTCAAAGGTGTCTGAAAAGGGCATGTAGTGACTCTAATTAAGCAGGGTTCAAAATGGGATAAAACCATTCAATGGCCAGTTTATATGTCTGATTGTCTCATTAAATTATGCTAACGAAAGAGGTTCACAGTCCACAGCTGCATATTTGAGACAAGTCTCTTAATTTGTGTCTGAATAATGGTGTGCATAAAGGACGATTATCAAAATGATTAACTAATTGCTTTCTTTCATTTCTTTCTTTGGTTGTAGACCAAAATACCAATCACATGAATGAGTTGACTTGAAACTTTTAGTAGAATAACTAACGGTTTGTTTGACTTTCATTTTTATAAGCGTCTCATTATTACTGCCCAAAAAACACAATTCTTTCTTTCTTTCTTTCTTTCTTTCTTTAAGTTTATTTGATACAGGACCACTTTGCTTAGAACATACAGGATTTTTTTGTTTTTACTGGCCACACTTTGCTCTTTTTATTTGTCATGTTTGCAATTTCATGCTACGTGTTTTCACTACAGGGGAAAACACATCAGCCTTAACAGTCGCTCACATATAGCAGCCAGTGAGAGACAAATTTGGTATCACGTTCCACCTTCTATTCTGTTTCAAAAAATAGCCATAAAATCACATCTAAAATCAATAACATCTTCTCAGTGAACTCAGGTTTTTGTTGCCAGACCAAGTGGATAATAGGATTACCTTTTGTTGGAGATGCTGAGTGTGGGTATCATGCTGAGTGAATGTGATGGGAATTCTCTGACACCTCAGTGTGACAGATTATTATTTTTTTTAGTCTGACAAGTATGAGTGAATCTTTTTAATACACAAATACACAAAGGGATAAAGGGTTTATAAGAGCTCAGAATCCGACATAATCTTAGATTATGATTATGTGTCTTGTTGCAGGGACTAGTTGGTAAAAAGTCATATTTCTTTATATACTATATTATGGGTACCATACTGAACCATATCCTGGTTCAAAACTATACAGTTTGAAATAATTTTGATCTTTTTCCTTTACAAATGATATTTGTACTTAGTATAGACACCTGACTGCAAAGAACATTTGGAGCCACATTTAAATTAGGCTGATACGATCTGCCACTGGCTAAAAAGGAGAAGCTGCTACCTAAATGTTCTCTGTGTTTTCAGCATGGACACGGAGAGTCAGACAGCCACAGCTCTGGTTAGCTTGGGAAGCTTTGACTACAGGCAGCTGAGCTGAGCGACAGTCAGTCATTCTGGTCGGTGTTACCTTCTGTGTCACTAGCAGAATATAGGCATTAAGTTACACTTTAAGATGTAATCATCTGTATATTTAATGAGCACAGAATTTGTCAACATAGGCAGAAGTGTGAGTTTACCGTCAAGGCGCAGATATTGAAAGTTGCGGTAGCTAAAGTAGTCCTCCATGATTGTCATGAGTGAGGTCATTTGACAGAAGAGCAGGACTCTGTGGTTGGTTGCCTGTAGCTTTGGCAGGATGCGATCTAGGAGCTCAAACTTCCCAGAAGCTCGATACAGATCATGCCTGGGTGGGAGTAATCAGGCAAAACATGTAACATAAGTAATCAATACCCATATATTTATTATTAAAATATCTTTAGCATCGAGTTTGACAGCGGTTAGCAGTCTGGCTGTTAATGCCTTGGTGCTATGTTGTCACACGTGCAAAAATGGAATTGCCCTTTAACAACATAGTGTTTTGTTTTTGTGTGTCAAGTGTAACCCTTTTTGTATTATTGTATATTGTATTGTAATAAGAGTAAGAGTCAACAGCTTTGTTAACTATAAGTGCTTCTTCATTAGTGCAGGCTGGTGTATAAACGGATTATGAAGGACAATATAGAAAAGCACAGCAGTTTTTTTGTTTTTGTCCAACTTACCCACTGATGATGCCATTTGGATAGCCCAAGTGCTCAGCAAAAGATTCCTGTAACAGGGAACATTTAGTGGTTTCAGAAATGATCTCTGTCTCTGAGCAATCTTAAAATGAAGTTAGGAACTTGGTGTTTTGTTAATGCAGACTGCTTATCAGCTTCTTCTTAAATTGAATCAGCATGTTTACTAAAGTTAGGACTAGTTTTAAAGGTATAACCCTGCAGACAGTCCTTCACTTTAAAAGAGTGATGTCAGATTGTAGTTGTTGGGTAATTCAATCTTAAATCATTAATAATGTGAGGCACCATCCCAGATGTTACTGGAAGAGTGAAAAGTCTAGAGATTTGGGTTAAATAAAATAAAAAATTAAATTATACAAGTTTTGTAAGGGATGTGTCAACACATTGAAAATGAAACCTATTTCATCAGTCATGTCAGTATTCACAAGCTTGTAACAGACAGAATCAGTGATAGTGGACTAGCAGCACTCACCTCAATGTGCTGGAACATGTATGGATGGTTGCAGATCTTCTTCAGCTGCATGATGGTGTTCATCAGGGTCTTAGCTCCTCCTTTGCCCTGGGAAAAATTATAACGTAGATAAAAGAAATTACTTGTCTTGTGTTGATGTGATTTTAAACCTGCAATAACTTAATTTTGGCCATTTCAGGGCAGCAGAAACAACTTGTGAACATATCAGTTATTTTGGTCGATATAGCAAACTGTGGATTATTTACACATCCTGCAGTTACAAAGCAACATGTAAGTCGTATATTCTCTCTTTTAGCTCTGTTTTGTTTTTTCTGTACCAACTCCTGACGGAAATACTCTCAGGCTTGTGTGTTCACCAGCTACTCAAACTGCGTCTGTTTGCTGTCTGGTGCTCGGCAGGTAGTGTACGGTAGGTGTTTTAAAGCTTTTTATCTGAAAAACAGCTGCGGCTGAAAATGGCACACAAAATGGAGCAGTGGGAAATAATAAAAACAGTAAGGTTGAGCTAAACAATGAGCAAAATTCTGTATAAAGTTCTAGATAGCTGAGGTGAGCTGCAGATTCAGGTAATAGTTCTCTGTAGGTACATCACTATGAGTGACTGAAGCTAAAAGCCAAGATGTTGCTTTAGCAGTTGAATAAGAATACCTTAGCAAACACAATATCTTGTTTATTTCACATACGTTTTTTAAAAGCAAAAGCACAGGGCTACTGTAACTCTAGTTATACAACAAAACTCAAACAGCAGGAGACTGTAAATATCACTGTGCTCTAAGCTATACAGCTTAGTTTGTCAGCAAGCTGATAAAACACAGCACGTACAGTGAAGCCACAGGGGTCTTGGTATACTTACCTTCTTGTCTTTCTCAGAGCCATCAGTGAGGAGGATGCCTTTCTGCATGTGGCGGTACAGAACCTTCTGTATAGCAGACATGTCGCATTTTATGACGTACTCCACCTGAGTGAATGACAATAAGGACAATACACCAGTTATACATGATATCTGTTCATTGGCGAGGCTGTTGGAGCGGAGACTACTTTCTTAATACTCTCCCTATTCTTGACACTATGAGGGAAAAAAACAGTTAATGAGAGAAAAATACATATTATTATACGCACATTGTGTACATAGTTTACATACCTTGCCTTTTTATACATACAAAAAATCTCGTAAGGTGAAGTTCAATTGGTGCACGTCTTCTTAAAAGTTTCTACGTGTTTCAGGGGCTCACACACGACACTAAGACCTTCTTAACGTAGGCTGTCCGTGGTGCTAAACATGAAGCTGAATAGATTTTTAAATAACTTTGAATATTTAACTGTCTGTAGCCATGTTAAATATTAAAAATAAATACACCACAAAGCGTTCAGTGGTGTAAACCATAAAAAGGTGTTTTTTTTTTAGACCTCGGAATTGTTTTGTATTAAATTGAAGCTTAATTTGCAATAAAAAGTACACACCCATTTATAAATTATATTAAGTCAGTATAAGAAAGTAAACTTTTATTGATTTACCGGAATCTCTGTTAAGCTCATTTTAAACATAAATTATATTAGGCATTGAGAAAGATGTCGATGTGAACTGGAAGATCAATTGTTAAATTAAGCGGTGTTATTTTTATGTTCTTATTCACAACATTATTACTCATTTTACATAAAACATCACTTAACAAATAACATCAGTTTCCATGCTGAAAGCATAGACCTCAACAATAAAAACTTAATAATAATTAATAAAACATGTAGTTATTGGTTCCCAGGGATTCTCAATATGCTCTTAGCCTCCTACAAGTGAATAGGAGCCACCCATGAATCTGAAGATCATTTTCAGCAGTAAGAGCAACTTCAGTTACAATGCTTTTGGGAAACACATCTTGAAGATTAAGAAAGGTTTTATGATTATCTTAGCCTTGAGATGGGCCCTGGATGTTCTAATCCATTCAATTAGGATGATGTCCGGCTCTGCATCACCCTGATGGGATGATACACCTACCATTAATTCTTTTATTTCCGTTTATTCCATATAAATAAGACTAGAAATAAAGTTGATAACAATTGCCTTGTTAAATTAATTTATGGCTGGGCCACAGAGAATACTTGAACCTTGTGAGAGAGGGATCCACTTTAATACTTATAACTGGATACAAGGCTACAGCCAATGATAATTGCTGAAGTAGTAGTGTTGAAGACTGTGCCAAGGTGTGTGTGAGTGTGTGTGTACTGAGCCAAAATAAGAAAAAAAAAAAGATTGTATTTGGATCAGTTATACATGACCATGAAGTAAGACCCATGCATTCTAAAAACACAGTCTGCAGAAAAATAGCCACACCATTTGGAATTATCTTCAATAATTACGTGCTTCATTATACTTAACATACAAAAAACATGCTCCTAATGATGACTGTTTTATATTTGACAATGTTTGCTTTACTTGCACTGGAAACCCTGCAGCAAATATAATCATGCTACATCAAATCAAAGTAGAAATATTTAGCTTCAATCTCACCTTCTCTGGCAGCTGAGACTCCACCTCTTTTTTCAGTCTGCGAAGCAGGAAGGGGCGGAGCACCTTGTGCAAACGCCGAATAATCAGGATGGTCTCCTCCTCATTTAGGTCGACCTAAACAAGTCAGAGAGTAAATATAATAATATACCACCTAATGTTGTGTTAAACATACTGGGCAGCAGTATAAACACAACGGTGACAAGAATGTGACCCACTTATGTATCCTTAGAACTGCAGTGTAACCTGATATTAAAATATACTGTGTGACCAAGAAAAACAATAAACATGTTTGTGTATGTGGTGTGTTGCGTCTTCTCCTTGTGGATGTCCACGATAAGCCAATTGGAGTAGGGTTGCGACAAAAGTATACATTTGTTGCACTCTGATGCGAGCTGACCTTTGTAGGCACAACCGATCGCTGTGATTTTAGCAGACGCTTGTTTTCCCCTGTAATGTGCCTTAAGACCTCAGAACACACACCATGCGTTTGTGTGAGTAAAACTGAATGTATACAAAGCTGTTGTTTGTTTACAAGAAAAACACGGGACCTTTAATATGAATCCAATGGCCAAAATGAAAGCCATAGAAACAACAATGGAGAAATATAAATTAATGATCAACTTTCATTAACTTTTTTTAAGCTTGCTTGGTGCTCAACTCCTAAACTGTTATTTTTATTTGTATTTACCTTACAAAGTGACCTGACAGTTTGAGCCCACCCTGAAACAAATTTGCAAACTCAGTATAACCAGCAGGTTAAAGGTTTATTTCAACTCAACTTGTACAGACTGGCTGGCTGAAGCAGCTGTTTCTTCCGCTACTATGAGTTATGGTTTGGAAACATAAGCATTTGCGATATAATTCACGATTAGTGTGCGATTGATTATTTTTGCATTCCAAATGTCATTTTCATTGAAAAAAAATAAAATAAATCATGATGATGTGATTTTTTTGGGGTCGTTATAGAACCGGTTTCTTACATCTGGAGAATAAGATTTGCAGGCCAGGGTATCTCTTATGCCAACAATTGTAAAATCTCACACTTTAGGACAGTTCCTTTAGATTTCATACCTTTTCAGTAGAAATGACAGGCATGATTACTGTGAAGGGATGAAAAGATCTCTGGAAACAGGGATTTAAAGAGACCGTTTATCAGCTTTAACAAGATGTACAATATATCCATGTTTAGCCAAAAATGGGCTCCAGTATATGTTAAAATCGACAACTCTTCTTAATTTTTAATTTTTTTTAAAAGTTATAAATTGAAAAAGTTCAGGTTTAGAAGTGTATTTAGAAAGTTATTAGATTCTAATGCATACTATGGCACTGCAATGATTCCCTCTGTGAGCACTCCGAGAAGGTAAGAAGATAACTTTTAACAGCCACAAGCTGAATTTTTTACCCAACAGAGTTGGTCTTCTCTGCTAATTAATCAAATTAAAACAACCTTAGAAGACAAAAGTTATTGGATGAATTTGTTCACCACTCTACCTGCGTAGCCTTGGATGCTTTGTTCTTACTGTGATTCTGGTACTTAAATACATATACAATACCTTAAAAACTAATTTAAAAAACAACTTGATCTACTGTATGAGCCATATCCAACAAAAAGTGTTGAGATTACACCAAAATGAATCAGAGACTTAAGAATCCAGGCCATTTCTCCTCGTACTTACCCTCTCTCCTGTCATAGCAAATGGGGCGTTGAACCACTGTTCGAAGGTGCTGCAGCTCTTGAAGATGGTGGGCAGGAGGAAGTTGAGCAGGGCCCACAGCTCAGGCAGCTTATTCTGCAGTGGTGTACCGGTGAGGAGGAGGCGGCGGGGAGCAACATAGTGGGTGTTCAACACCTGGGTCAGCTTACAGTGGTGGTTCTTCATGCGGTGACCCTCGTCCACAATCATGTACTTCCAACGAATCTGTATGTGGAAAAAATACTTATTGGACCTTTTGCAATAATGAAAAACACCATGTCCAAATTTGCATTTGAAACATTTCTGATCACAATGGAGCTCAGGAGTGGCTGCAGAGAAGAACATTTCCTACTCTGGCTACCCTCAGGGCACACAACACTACTGCATAAAAATGAGAAGTTTCTTATTCCCTCTCTTCATTTCATATGCGCACAATAATTGTGCAGACAGTGATGTGAACATATCAACATGCACCCCTTTACTAAAATAGCACACTTTTTGCTCACCCTGTGAGCTATTGTGTTATTTCAGCACCTGGCCACCAAATGTTGGCCTTAACACTTCAAGCCATGGAGTAAACAAGGTGCTGGATTCAAGGGGATTCTGGTCGATGCTTATGCAAAACTCCTGCTCCATCTGTGTGAGGTTGCAGACCTCTTAACATTTTGTTGAACAGCAACTAAAACTCTTGACCCTTTCTGCAGACCTTACATGAGTTGTACTCACTAATTATATATTTGCTAACCACACATTAAATAAGACACTGAGGTATGGATGATGAAAGACGCCCTCTAACTAAGAAAGGACTAAACCGAGGCTCTATTTTTTCAGTGCTTTACACCCTTGTGTTAAAACTGATTCTAATTTAACTTTTCGATCGCATACAAGGAACGCAGCTAACATAGTGTTCTATCATCAAAAGAGTATTACAAACATCAGACTTTCCTTGTGACTGTGTATTATTTATTACAAGTAGGAGTACTACTGCAGTGCACTGTTCTCAAAGTCGATATATCAATTACGGCTCATAGAGAGTGGTGCTGCTGCAGCCATATTTCAGATTGGAAGAAAAGATCACATTTGTTTTAAAGTTCAGCACTGGTGTCAAGTTTGCCTATGTGAGTCTAATGATCCTACTACTTTTCTAGAAAACTAATAATGGACTTCCCAATTATGATGTCATGTGCTTCTGTATGGCTGTATAGATGTTCCCTGTAGAGCCCCTCAGATCCACAGACTCCTCGCTCACTGTATCAATAATGAAGCTCCTCTTGCAGTTTTTAGACCCAAATGAACTCAATCTGGATCTGAGGAGTGCCTGCTGTAACTCACAATTTTTAGTTCTGCCTTTACCTGGAGGCTGTTATTACTATCGCCTCAAATTCAGCAGTAAAGACAGAGCCATTCAGTCACTGAATGTAACTTTCAAACTCTGGCACAGTTATTGAACTACTGATTGGTAAAGTTGTTAGTGAATAAAAGAGTGTGTCTATGGGTTTATGAAGGACAAGATGTCAATAGAGTGCAAGTGAGAAAGTGAATTAGACAGAGAGGACAACAAAGCTTTGCTCTCCTTCACCTTGGCCAGTATTTGCTTGTCCTTGATGATATATTCATAGGTGGTCAGCAAGACATTGAACTTTCCACTGCGGAGTTGAGGCACAAACCCACGGCGCAAAGCAGGGGTGCCCTTCCATCGGGGAGACAAAAAGAAAACACACGTTTCTGTCATAAGTCAGCAAAAAGCAATACAAATATCTCAGAATAAAACTGATATAAAAAACATTTTTCTTACCTTGTAAGCAATTTTGACCACAGAGGGCGCCCATTTGTCAAGTTCATAGACCCAGTTAGACAAAGTCCTGGAAAAAAGGAAATCAATGACGATCACCACAACTGCTGGAGGTAAGATGTAAGAAGGGGGTCTGAATGTAGAGCAATTACAGAAACACTCTTAGCGAAGATATGAAGAGGAGAGGCAAGGGAAACTTGAAGAATCACACAAATAAAAAATGTTGAAGCACAACAACTTTCCAAAGGGTCAAATGGATTGCAGATCTACAATGAGAGACTTTTCTTAGGGAGGGCTTTGTTCAGAACTTGGTCCCCTGGGAAGATTAAGCTCCTTGCACATTAACTTGGACAAGGATGTGTTGTTAATTTCCCAACACACAATTACTATTGAAAGAGGGTGAGTTTAAGGCTTTCCTCCACATTAGCTCACTGTGCATATTAAAAAGGAAATTTAACACAGGGGCCCTGAGCTCAAATTTAGGCCTCTGCTGTGCTCAGTTTGACTACAAAAAGCAGTGCAAAAAATAGTAGTTAAATTTGAACATAATAATTTGAACATAATTTTAATCCTTTAAGACCTACAGTTGAAAATGAAAACTAATATTTGTAATTAGATGAAATATGAAATTGGCAATTACACCTGCTATGTTAGATGAAAGAACCCAGGAGGAAGAAGGGTTGAAAAAAGGCACCAAATTAACTGCTCCCTGGTCTTGCTGATTCCAAGTGAAGGCTTGAGTGGTTTGTGTTTGAAGAATTTGGAGGGATGAGTGGTTGGAAAACAGCAAGGGAAAACACACACTTTTGCAAAGCTAAATGACTGAAGAGATTCCCATTTTTGCATCTTTGTAATAACAGAGGAAAGGAGTGTTAAGACAATTTTTAACAATTAATTTTAACACAGGTCATTTATGGGTTGAAACAATTTAATGTGTCCTTATTTTTGTGAAATTTATTTTAGGGTTATCTTATACTCAGGCCAATACAGTAATATCTGATAACTACTTGAACTTCGAAGTAATAACTCATTGCTGTTTTAGAGAGCTTGCTGTTAATTTTGACTTACCACTCCTTGTAGCCAGATGAATGTGTACACTTGAATTTCATTTTAACAAACAGGTGTATCAGTGTCTCAATCAGGGATGGGACGCCCAACTCCTCTGTTCTCTATTACAACCTTATTTTATGATTTAGACTAATAAGATGTGTTTATTTCAATCCAAAATAAGTTCCAAGAGTGATTTTAAACACTGCGCACATCGGTCCCTTGCTAGAAATATTTTAGGCTGTCATGACACTGCATTATTAGAGCGTTGATGGATGGCAGCTGAGGAGTACTGACGAGAGAGGAACAATGATGAGAAAGGGACCGTTGAGCCTCTTGTACTCCATCAGGTAGGTGATGAGGGCGATGGTTTGAATGGTTTTGCCGAGGCCCATTTCATCAGCCAGGATGCCGTTTAGGTTGTTGTTGTACAGGGAAACCATCCACTCCAGCCCCTGGATCTAGATAACAGAGAAATAAAGAAATGCCTAATAATTGTCTTGCAGACAACATATCATTCACTGTGCTCATTTCTTCACGACATTTGTATGTATTATTTCTTCTCCTCCAGCACATAAAAGACAAGAAAACCATTAACTGATCAAGACAGAGTGTGCTTTGGGAGGTGCTTTATCAATTAATTATGTCTAATTGCGTGTAAAAGAGACTGAATGTTTTAAGTGAAAACATTTCACCTAAAGGGCAAGGCATGACAATCTGAATACTAAATAGGAAAAAATTCTGCTGGTGGCTCAGATGGCTAATATGCATAATATGCAACCAAAATATACAGGTTACATGTCACGTCCTGCTCTTTCTGGTTAAATCTCTCCTGTCACTTTAAAGTAGTGACAGTCTAAAAGGTACAACTGCTAGAAAATAGGGCTGCACTTGGCTTTTCAAAGTGAATTTTGAAAATGCACTTTAATTTCATTGCCACTATTTATATCCCAAGCGATGGTAGTAAAATATCACTGTGTAGCTTCCCTGGGGTCTGGGGGAAAACAATCAGCAAAAGACCATTTAGAAAAACAGGAAAAGGCATGAGGGTACTAGCAGCAGAAAAGGTGGTCGACAACCAATTACCAGCTGCGTGTTAGTTAACAAAATGCCTCACAGCACAGGAAATTCCAAATAAAAAATGCTGGTAGAGGATAAAATTAATAGGAAATGCCAAACTAAAATTGTTCTATATTAATGTGTAGTTTCTGTTAATATTTGCTGTTACAAATGGTTGTTGGCACAGTAGGCAATTGATCCATCTATTGTACAGCTGAAATCTATCCAATTTCCCCTAGGAGCTGCCACCGTATCTAATTTAAAGCCTGGCACACCATAAATCCGAAGAGTGCTAGTACTGCAACCTGACTGGAAGAAAGAAAAATGTTAGCAGCATCCAATCACCAGTTCCTTATCTCGTGTAATAAACAATCTCTAACTACGATCCCCACTTACAACAGCAGAGTGGAGATTATAACTTCACACTGGTAAACAATGTGATGACATGTTATGAGCAGACAGCTGTCTTTAAAATTGACTACCATGATTCAATATTCAGTTTCCTAGCAGCATGTTAGATCACACCCTCAATCCATGACCAAACCCACATGACAGCTGCAGCTCTTTGCTACTTGAACACTGCATGATGCACGATGAGAACTGACAAGGACATATGTGGTTCCTGATTCCAGCTTAGCTTCATACGTGTGTAGACAGCCTCAAGTGTGGCAGAAGAACTGCATAAACACGAAGACTGTTATTAGCTATAAAAATGTAAACCATCAAAATACAATACAGCCTTTCACACATCACAAAAGGAGGCATCATCCTGCTTTACAATACCCTTTACTCTCTTTTAGGTTAGTTGACTAATCGATTAGTCTATCGACAGACAGAAACACACTGGCTCCAGCTTTTCTATACAAGACATTTAAAGACATCAACATGGACTTTGGGCTTATGAACTTGGAAAAAAGTCCCTTTCTAACATCATTCTAACAGATGGGGGACAAAATCTGCAGTCCTGGCTCAATATAAAGATGAATTTCAAAGCTGTAGTATTTTAAATGCAGAATTTCCTCTTTTTGTTTCTCCAGACAGCGAGGTGAGTCATGGTGGAGACACATGAAGGGAATTTATGACCAAAAATACTATACTAAAGCCTCATTAACTGTAAAGCTAAATCGCTTTATGACCATTATAGATAGGAGGAACAACTGAAGTGACCAATGACTCTTAATTAATAGAACCACTTTTAGTGCTATTTAGCACCATTTGTATGTACGTATGGGCATGTGAATATTGTTATAATGTGTACCATTCATATAATCAATAATGAAAAAAATATTTTGTTGCAGCCCCGTGCTGGAGTATTAAATATGTGTAATCTCACAAGGCTATTCAAAACAAATCCGGCTTGTCGTGGTGGTGGCCAGGACCAAGATAAGCAGTCCAAGAACACTTAACACTTTTTCTCCTTCTCTAAATATTACATTGCTATTTTAGATTACTGTCAACTTTTTCATAGATGGATTGTTTCCTTCCTTTCATTTCAGTATTTCTATAATAGTCAGTTCTCCTTCCTCTTTGGTGATTAGTTCAAGGACAAATCATCATCATATAAATCTGAAAGAAAGTGGTGAAAATTTGACAAAAAGCTTTTTTGCTTTTATGAGTCATGCTGTTGGAAAAATCAAACGCAGAAAAACAAACTAAATAAGAAATAATAAGTGAAAATAAAAATGTGAATTTGTTCTTGCATTGTTCTCAACATTCAATCTGAAACTAATTTAAAACACAGAGCGAATAAAAAACAGAAATAATGTAAAATAACAACCACTGTTTAAAGGTGAGCAATACAAATAGGAAAAAGCTGAAATAATAAGGAATTTATGTGCGTGCATGTGTGTACCTGGTAATGTTTGAGTGTGCCGTTGATCAACAGCGACGACTGCTTCTCCACCCTCTCAATGACGGCATGGGCCACACCATAATAAGACTGGGAGCTGGTTTGTCCGGTAGGAACACTGTACTCATCATCCACGTCCTGCTTGGCCGACCTATATGTGTGTGAGATGTAGGAGGGAAAAAAAAAAGAATTTGAAACCCCTCTAACCCCGACTGAACTGTGCACCTTAGATTGATCTTAATGATCACTTTCAAAGCGTAGCTGGGTCTGGCGCCAGGAGCTCAGCTGGAGTACAGCCAGAGCTCCTCACTAAGATCCCCTCTGGAAACATCTAGATTCAGTACAAGGCCCAATAAAGCTTTATTTATGTGTTCATCCAATTTTATTTTTTAATGTCTACAATTGACTGCTGGGAAAATTAGAAGGAGTTTCTTTGAAATTGTTTCAAGAAAGAGAAACCTGTTCTTAAATTTAAATGATAATATGTTTTTTAACACAGTAACATACAATATGATTTTATTATAATTTGTATTCTACTGATCCAATTCCTGGACTAAAAATAAGGTGCTATGCCAATTAAATCTGAGATAGTAAAGTATAGTAAGTATAATACTCGATGATGTGCTTGGCAGCCGTCACAAACACCAGGTCTCCATTGGGATCAATTATCTTCTCCTCTGCTTCTGCTTTGGCTACCTCCTCTTCATCCTTATAATGAAAAATGTATAACACATGACAGAGTGTATACATATAATATCAGCACAGACAAATCACAGAAATAGCTCTGATGGGGATAAAGCAAAATCATCAGAAATAGCATTACTGAAGTGCATACAGCTACAGCCCCCTGGTGGATTCTGATGTGTGTATTTATTGTGTGTATGTGTATACTGAGTCGGTCCGACTGAGATGTGCAATGAATCCCATTTAATAACATAATAATTTGCATGATTTGAAGCCCCGCAGGGGAGGGAGGCTGATCTAAAATCCTCCACTGTGGGAGTTCATTAATGAGAAAGTCACTGACCTCCTCCTCAAACTCTGAGCCGCTCTCCTCGCTGTCTGACCGCGGGGCCACTTCATACCTGGTGTTTAAAAGGAGGAACCGCCAGGAATAGGAAAACAAAGGAAATAAAAAGACACTTAGTATATCTGTCACACATCAAAAAAATGCACACCTTCAGCACAATTAACAAGCAGCAGCACCCAATAGTTACTTAATTTGGGATGGCATCTGGTTGAATCCTCACTCAACCTTGAAAGTCTATACACCCTTAATAAGCACAAAGCTTCACAAATCAATCATTCTAAACTTATTTAAGGTCACAATATACCTGCAAAAGCAATTGCTTATTTTCTGTATTTTTTTGTAAATGGGTATGTCTTGATTCAACACTTTCATGAGAAAGAAGTTTCTAAGAGAGAAATCATTTGGCAAGCAAGAGGATTTGCTTCTTGCATTACTAACAGTTCTTTTTTATTCATTAAAACTACATAATTAGCATAAGCAATGATAACCACCATGGCTGAACAGAGTGTCACCTGCAGAAACTCACTTATAATTACGTTGTAAAAGACAAAAATAACATTAATTCAATTTGTGTAATATGTCAGAGGCTGAAAACATTTCTATGCAGTATTGTGTCTCCTCACCCAGGGTTCATTTCGAGCCAGGCCTCCAGCTGGCTGGATTTGGGAGCGTCCGTTCCTTGCAAAACTTTGCCAGTCTCCGTCTGAATGACTTTGACTGGCAGCTCACTCATTTGGCTGCTCTCATCCATGGGCTGCAGGGAAAACAAACCACAAGGACCAAGAATGAAATTCACTTGTGAACGTATACAAATGCCGTTAATTATTGACAGTGGACTTAAAATTGATTTTTAATTAAGCATTTAATTTGTTTGTAATTAGAGGTTGAGAGAAGGAGGGAGGGAGACGGTCTTATTTGAACCTCCGTTCAATCTCTCCCTGGTGACTGTCATCACATATACTTAATTTTTAATGCAGCCAAATTCACGATATAAAATCATTACATTATGAACACTAAATCACCTGAAGCCTGAATTTCTGTCTATATTCTAATTCAGATTAACATGGCTTTAGGTTCTGTCCTTGCTTCACCAGTACATTGTTTTAAACTATAATAAATCCCAGTTCCAAACCTATCATTACCCCCCTCAGCAGAATCCAACATTAATGAGTGTTGGGACATTAATGATGTGTTTCTTCAAACATTAGCCATCAAGTCTTAGTGTATCTATTTCTCACAGGAGCTCGCAGCTGTAAGCTGAGGGAAGCTGTGAGGGAGAACAAACACTGCAGGTTTGTTTTTGTTGCATTACTTACAAGAGACTCAATTTGCTTCAGTTGTACTATCACCTAGGGTGCAGTCTGGCTCTGACAGGATAATTACTGTTTCATCTGATCTTCAGATTATTTTTTATCATTGCCAGAGCACATTATGAGGTGAGGTAAAGTGCAGGTTTGGTCTTACAGCATACATAATACATCAGTGAAAGCAGCAGAGCAATAAATATCACCATAACAAGATTTGTTGATAGTTCAACATCCTCAAAGGAACAAGGATAAAATAACAACCTGA